CCCCTTCTGAGGGCTGGAGGGGCAAAAAAAGGAAAGCAAAAGCTCTTAATGCCAGAGAGATGTAATTACCAACAGCAGTCCCAAGAGGTTAAACAGCAGCCGAAGGAGTAAAACCATAAAAACTGACAGTACGATCGCGGTGTAAGGGATCCGCTAGGTTCACTGTTGTGTGCGTTGTCTCTTCCATTAACAGGTTCGACTTCGGTTCATTATCAGGAACACTGTCCCACAGTAGGCCAGCCAATTTCACCTCCAGATTACAAAACAGTCGCACAAGAACACTTGTAAAGGCATCTCTTGTCACACCTATAAACAAGTCCCTGGGCCCCTTCATTATAGTACTCAATTGCTAAGTTTCCGGATTGCTGGGAAATTACAGAAAAATGATCTGTATGTGCTAGCGCCAAGAAAACCATGTTATCTATTGAGTGCAGGAGGTACGCATGTCAAATTCGTAAAGAAAACAAAGCCGCTGTCTTATAATCAAATTGATAAAGCATTTTGTGAATAAGCTAAGTTAGGATCACTTACAGGTATATACTTCATAAATATCTTAATAAGCTACATAACCATTTGTTTTAGCATTAATATTTTAACATTGACATTCCCAACTTGCAAACATAATTTTTAACTCTGATTAGCAACTGAGTTCACTGAAGACGTGCACCTCATTTTCTGTGCACCTCTTACAGAGGTGTCTGTAAGAGGCTATAGGGAAACACCAACAAGTGAACTGTTCTTAAATAACTCTTTTCACGTACTCTCTGCTCAAGAACCCTGTGTGATTTCAGATCAAATACTAAGTTCAGCCTTATCAACTGCTTCTCTTTCATAGGTCAAAAGGACAGAAGATCTACAACTTCTATCTACCTGGCACCACTTCCTACAACTCTCTAATCTGATCTGTGGGCCTCACTACTGTAACTCCTCACAATTGCCATTCTACATTCACTGGTGTGAATTATTTAATAACTATCTTCCCTGGTAGACTGTAAGTTCCATGTGGGCAGGACCTGGGTCTGTTTTCCTGCAGTACTGATTCATCTAGAGCAAAGGAAAGCCTTCATTTTCAAATGTCAGGAAGTAGGGCCAGCAGGGTAAAGGCCCTGAAGGCAGGCATGACCCTGGCAGTTTCCAGGAGCAGCAAGAAGACACTGTATTTGGGGCTTCCTAAGTAGAGGACAGCCAGGGAATGGAAAGGAAGCCATGGAACAATCACATGGTACAGATATTAAAAGGCCGTGTGCAGCGCATGTTAAGAAATAAATGGTTATGTTATCAGCATATATTTTCAAAACCATAACCTCAGGCAATTTTGGATAGTCATGATCCATTTTCTCTACAGGGACTCCTCAAGTTTGAAAGAAGGATATAAAATATTCTTCATCTACAGAAAAGATTTAGTAAAATAAAGCCAATTGCACTCGTGTATAGGTTTAAAAGCCAACGTTTGGGGCCACTCTGAATAGGAACTAAAGAGCTACTTGGTATAATCTTTGACTTTTTTTTTTTTAAGTTTTGCTATAAAGTATGTCTGTTCACTGGAGAAAGAGAGAAATGACCCTCGGAGTGATGGGGGTGGGGTGGGGGTCAGTGGAGATAGCTATACCACAATCCCTTCTCCTCCATTCTGTTCTTAGTATTTGGGGCATGCACGCACACATGCCCAGTATGTTTTTCAAGCCACTGGGTTCTGGACACAAACCTGCAATTGACCACATGGGATCCAGCCACCTCAACCACCGTGCCACTGACTGGTGCCACAATCTTTCATTTTAAAAATCTGTCCATCCAAAATATTTAAAGATGAGGACATAAACATATAGGCTAAAGAGGCATACTAAACCCATAAAATACTGTGAATTAGCTTCTCCTTGAAACAATACATAAAGCCAAAACTCACTAAAAATAATGTGGACATTTTTGCATTTTAGAAGGTAAACATGCTATGTATACACCTAGCCTTTTCACTGAATGTGTTTTGACAAGAATGCAAAGTTCAGGACACAGGTACAAAGGAAAAGAGCAGCTGGTTTATGTTAAATGTGTTTATGAGAAATGTGGATCAATTTTTAAAGTTCCATCTGCTATAATAATCTTTGATATAATGAAGAGCCTTTCCAGTAATTTAAAAAACATTCAGCGGTTTGCCTGACAAGGTTTTTGCCTTTTTCTTTTGAGACTCTGCCCCCTACAGGAGACTAAGTATTCCTACCTGTGGTAGAAAAGCAGTATTCTGTGCACAGGTATTAAGGAAAATGAAAAGCAACCCTGTAAACCACATGTGTCCCAAAACAGCTGAATGTAGCACTTCCTGATGGAAGAGGGGTTGTTTAAGAAAAATGACTTTTTGTTTCTTTTGGAATGTGACACACTATACAAATTTGGATTGACTTCTCCCCACCTCAAACTAGAAACCCCGTTGGTTAGAACTCCAAACCAAAGCATGAAAGTAAAAGTGGAGCAGAGCAAATGATTTTGGACTACATTATCCCTGGGCCCTGGATTCCCTATCACTAGCCTTCCTGACCTATCTGGCCCACTTCAGTGGACACCAAATTTAGATAGCAAAGGAGCATCCTAGAGCATGGCGCCTAAAGCGGCTGCCAGCAAGTGCTATTCCTGCCCACTCTCTAGCACTCGCCCTGTTCTTTTCTACTTAGCTTCCTTCTCCCTGCCTCTCCTACTCACCTTTGTCCGCCTCTCATTTTAATTTCTCCAACAGCTGGATGCAGCGGGCTTGCTGAGGGCTACCCTCTGCCTCCATTTCTCTGTCTTCTGAGTGCTCTGAGTGCTACGATACAGCACAGAATAAGAGCGATGCGCATTCCATTAGGAAGCAAACTGCCAAGAGGAAAGTGAATTAGGTGACAGCTCTGGGGAACACCTGAGGCGCGTCTTCCCTCTTCTACTAGAAAGTTTCTTGATTCAGCTACTCTAGTCTCTACCTCGAGAACTAAGCTGGCTTGTCTTCCTTTATTCCAATAACACAACAGACTTGTCCCTAACAGCAATCTAAAACCACTGAAGTGTACCAGAATTCCAGGATGTCAGAAGTAGGCACTTAGTAAATTATTGTGGAATGTCTGAACTTTGAAAGATAAAATATGTAGTATAATAGGACACTGAAATGTCAATTCATTTCTTTAAAAATTATGCTGAAGCGAGTATTTCTTTATTTCAAAATCATTTTCCATAAGTAGCTGGTTGGCTTAACATAGGTCTTTTTTTTTTTTTTAAAGAGAGATTTTTGCCATAGGGCATGTACGCTTGCCAAAGAGACAACAAGTTAGAAATCATCCCCAAAGCGGGGATGACCATGCCATAATCCCTTCTCTTCCATTCTCCTCCTAGAATTTGGAACATGCACACACACACACACCCCCAGCATGAGTTTCAAGCCAACACCACGACCCGGACTCAAACCACAGTTCACCATATGAGAGTCCAGCTTTGTAACCACTATGCCACCTGCTGGTCCCCACACAAGGTCTTCATACCTGTAGATATGTATATAACCTAGAATGACTTAAGTGGTTTGTTGTTTCTGACCTCTCCAATCCCACCTTGCCAGTTTCTGTTCCATAGTTTTTGTGACCCTCAGGTAAGGCAGGGATAATTCATTTTATCCTCCTTTAGGTAAATTATTTTTCAGGAGGAAAGGTCATCATCTTTATCTAACTGAAATTCAAAATGTGGCTTTCATTGTGTCACTATTATTTGACTTTTTTCAATACAGGAGTATAGACAAAATTTAAAATTTATCTTTGGCTGGTGGTGAGTGTATTGCTCATTTCATACAACATACTTAAATCTAATAGATTTGAATTAAAGCTTTCCAAATCAGGCTTCCAACTAAAACTACCCTCATGGAAAATTTATTGCCATAAATTGTGGAGTTTAGTGAAAGAGAAATAATTTGATTTGTATATAGTAATGGATCTGGTTTAGTGAACTTTTTTTTTTGCTTGTTTCTTTCATTTCTATTTTACTGTTCCTGGGGGTGGGGGGAGAAGGAGCAAAAGAGAGAAGCAGTAATAAGGTTGGAGGCAATAAGATTACTGGCCTCAAATTCTACTTTGTGTGTCACCCTCACGCAGCAGCTCCAGAAGCCCCGGGCTTCCCCGTGATGAAGCACAGGCCCATCATGACTCAGAGGTCATCTGTTGAGTCATCACCAACCTTGCTTTTAGCTCTCCACATTTTCTGTCAAGGCTGACTTTTTTAGATTCCACCTTAACAGGATCTGACAAGGCATGATCAATGACAGTTATGACTACAGACGTCTGCCTTGCCTTAGGAGCATCAGTAGTCAGCTCTGGGCCCAGATGTCTCCTATGTGACACTCTGTGACATCCATATTACAGTGACTTTCATACAAGACGGCAGAGGGAATGGAATCACACCTGACTTAGGAAGCCTAACTTCTAGTTTGGTTATGTTTAGATCAAGTCATTTTGATGCAATGTAGTATATCACGGCTCCTTCTACCACCATGGTGTAAGGAGGGATGTGTTCACAGAGCAAATGCCCTGGAAGAGAATCTTTCTATAAGTGGGAGGAAGCTGTGACTGGCCTACTGAGGGGATTTTTTTTTTTAAAGTGAATTCCAATTGTGGGATTCAGAGCTGTTCTTTAGTGAACTTGAGGCTGGAAATTTGCTTCATACCTGCACATTTGAAACTCTGAGCAGTGAGTCCTCGTTCCAAAGACAAAGTCGTCAGAATGCTCAGGAAGCTGGTGGTCACAGACTGGCGCTTGTTCTTCCTGAGTTCAGGCCCGCCCATCTGATCCTTGGGTTTGTTCCTAAGCGTGACCTGCAGGTTTTGCTCTGAACTCCTCGCTGTGTTGGCCGCTGTTTTCAGAGCCTCCATCTTCTATAAGTGGGAGAGGAAGCTGACTGGCCTACTGAGGGGATTTTTTTTTTTTTAAAGTGAATTCCAATTGTGGGATTCAGAGCTGTTCTTTAGTGAACTTGAGGCTGGAAATTTGCTTCATACCTGCACATTTGAAACTCTGAGCAGTGAGTCCTCGTTCCAAAGACAAAGTCGTCAGAATGCTCAGGAAGCTGGTGGTCACAGACTGGCGCTTGTTCTTCCTGAGTTCAGGCCCGCCCATCTGATCCTTGGGTTTGTTCCTAAGCGTGACCTGCAGGTTTTGCTCTGAACTCCTCGCTGTGTTGGCCGCTGTTTTCAGAGCCTCCATCCATTCCTGAGCCCTCTGCCGGGTCTCAGCTCGGAGGCGGAGGACATCTTGGGGAAAAATGACTTGAAAGCAAGAGTCGCAGCCATCCAGGTTGTCGATCTGGACAGCCAGACACACATCCACGTTGTAGCTCAACAGAGGATCCTCGTCTAACTTGCCAGGCTGAAAAGCCATGAGGTATGCCCTGCTCAGCACAAACGTAAATGCCTTCCAGTTGTTCTGGACAGTCAGCCTGTAGAGCGTTCCTGATTTGATGATGTTCTGGTACTGTTTGGGGCTGTCCAAGACAGGGGATGGTGGCAGCAGCCCACTGGCTTTCTTCTGTAGACAATGATTCTGTGTGCTATCCATGTGGTGACCGAGACCTGGTGAGTTTGCCAGCTCATCCTGCCGTCCCACGTAACCAGGCACGGTAGCATGCACGACTTCCCAAAGTTTCTGCCCCCAGTCCAAAGCCTCCCATGCGGACTCTGCTTTTAGCTGTAGCTGGGTGTTATCATACAGAACGGTGTCCACCATCCTGGCCTCAAGGTTTCCCAAGACAGATATGTTCTGGAAGTGTGAAAGCTGGTAGGTGGCATAAAGGTTTTGATTCCCACTGCTGTCCAGGCTGTAGAAGTATAAGTTGTAAGGTGAGAGTTCTGCGTAACAGCTTTGCCAGTAACTGTCGTGGTCCTTCCTAATCTCCAGGTATCCCTTCTTCAGAATGTTTGGGAATGTCTGCTTGTGTTCTAGAAAGGGGGTTAAAAAAAAAAAAGAGGCAAAATATTTATTAGTTATGTGAAGGTAGGTGTACAAAACCAAGCAGATCAGGGGCTGACATCCCTCTGTTTCAAACTAACTAAGCAGAAGTAAAATTACAAGATGGGATTTAATTGGCAAGATATAGCTAGAGGACATCTCATAGTGAAAAAACTGAAAAAAAAAAAAAAGGAACTGTGAGTGTAAGAGTAAGTATGAGAGCATGCAACATCCATGTGCCTGCAGAGGTCTGTGCAGAAAGCAAATCCAGTACTGCAGTAACTGTGACATACAACACCGCAAAGGTCTAGGAACCAATCACATTTTGCCAGGATTCCTTGTTTTCTAGGTAGCATTCTACACGGTACCAGAAGCTCTCAAGAGAACATTCCTTCTGTGGCTCAACCTAACTCCTTGTGAATACTTTCCTTAGGTTGGAAAAGCTAGGAAGGATCAATGAAAACTAGAGAGCATAGTGTGTGTTGCTCACAGACTCCTGTTTCTCAAGTACCCCGTCAACCCTAAAAACAGTTCATGGCCTTCTGTCTTGTAACCACTTCTCAAGAATTGACCTAATCAGCTTGATCTGGAGGTCTCTGCTTGGATGACCATTCTCTCTCCGAGCTTGTCTGTGCTTCTGCCATTCCCTGGACTTGCAATGCTCCTTCCCACAGCTTCCACCAGTGACTACACATTTGCTCTCTTCCAGAAAGGCCTGTGTTCTGACTCCTACAACCCCTACCCTCATCTTGCCTGCACGTATCCCTGGGTCAGTATCGAGGATCTCTACTATACTGCTCCTCTATCATGGACTCTTATCGGATGGTATTACAATAGTTTGTTTTGGTTTAAATATCTAAACAAATACATCTATCTATCTATCTATTTTGCCAGATGGAGTGTGTGCACTAACCAGAGAGAGAGAGAGAAACAGGGAGATGGAGAAGGTACCTCCCCCATGGGGCATGGTCAGGCCACAATCCCTTCTCCTCCATTTCTCCATTCTGGGAATTCTGGGCATGTGTGCACCTGTGCCTGGTATGTTTTTCAAGCTGGCTGGACCAGCACACCAACCGTGGCTGGCCATGTGGGATTTGGCTCCCTGAACCACTAGGTTATGTGGCCAGCCCAAATAAAATAAATTTTATGGTTGTTTTCATTTACTTTTTTTTTTTTTTAAAGTCTGTCTTCCCTACCAGACAATAAGCTCCACTGAAAGCAGGGATGAGGTCTCTCTTTTCATCCTTATGTCCCAGTGCACTGTATAATCCCTGACACATAGCAGGTACTTACTAAGTACTTGCTGAGTTAGAAATAAAGATCCTAGGAGCTGGCAAGTGGCGTGATGGTTAAAGGCACTGGAGTCCCACATGGCTGGCCACAGTTTAAGTCCCAGACCTGGTAGTTTGCTTTCTCGCTTTCCTTCTCTCTGTCTCTGTCTGTTCAAAATTTTAAAAAACAATAATAACAAATGGAGTTAAATAAATAATTCTTAAAAAGAAAGAAGGAAAGCAAGCAAGCAAGCAAGCAAGCTCCTAGAGGGACCAGCAGATGGCATAGCAGTTGTGTTGCTGTACTCCCACATACCCAACCACAGTTCAAGTCCTGGACCTGGCAGTCACTGTGTCTGTCTGTCTCTCTCTCTCTGGTGAGCACATGCACCCTAAGGTAAAAACTAAACCTAGCAATTCCCAGAGCAGGTAGGCAAAATTCCCTTTCTTCCCTTTCCCTCTATCTCACAAACTTACTTAGCTACGCCACCTTTCACCAATGATTAGCTGCGATGTACACCAGTTTAATACTCTAATCAAAGGTGATTCACACTGAAGATACCTCCTCATCTAGTATCAGACATGGAACTGACATCCATGCAAGAAGAAGCTCTCTTGCCTGGTATAGATTTTAATTTCTGAGATCTTTCTCCATCTCTTCGCTGACACACATTAGTGACATTCACAAACTAATTGAGTCATTTCCTAATGGAGGCAGACCACACTGCCAAAGGGTATGATTCCTGCTTGTGGTGAAGAAAAAAAAAAGGGCGGTAAGATCTAGATCTTAAAATAGCAAGCCAAAAGAGAAAAGGAGAGAAAAAATAAGGCAGAAAAAAGCCAGTATTACCTGTTTTACATCTCTGGTCCTGACATTCATTAGTATTTTTGTGGTAATGCAAAAGCCATTAATTTCTTGCAACCCACACTAATCCCTTTGTAGAAACAGATAATGGATGCCTATTCTCAGGTTATCTGTCTATTCTGATAATGCAATAAGGGAGGCAGTGCTGTTAGAGACACTGCTGCTGCCTCTCCCCTTCTCATTTCCATCAGGCACTGATGACAGGCCAACCTTTCCTAATAAGACACAACCTCGTGTCCCTCGATCCCTATCTCTCCTGTGACCCTGAGGCTCAGCTAGGCCTTTCTGAGTAAAATAAAAACCACCTCTTTTGCTTTTAGCTAAGCATTTTCCTCTCCTCTTCTTATCTTCCTGAAAGCTTTTTACAACGGCTACTGTGAATTAGAAAGTCTACTTTAACAGGCCCAAACTAGCAACAAACCTAACACCTCACTTCCTCCTGACTGTGTGATCTGGGGTGGAAAATGCCAGCTTGGGTGGACTGAATGAGAAGTCCTGCTAGAGAGTCTCCAGAGTTCCCGAACATACCTCATGCAGACTAGGGTAAAGAAGGCACTAGGTTCCATCTTTTTTTTTTCTTCTCAATAAGAAACATTTCTTATCTCTGTTCCGCCTCAGCTTCTGCCCTCTCTAAATGGTATGTTAAATTGATACAGAAAAGAACAGTGTTAATTATTAGGGAAAATCAAATCAAAACTACAATGAAGCTATCTCCTCCTTCTAGTTAAAATAGCTATTGTCAAGAAAACAAAACCTAACAAATGATGGTGAGATGCAGAAAATGGGGCTCTCTTTACACAGTAGGTGGGGATATAAATTAGAAATCTTGCAAAAAACTAGAAATAGAACTGGCAAATGATCTAGTAGTCCCAATGCAAGGCATACATCCAAAGGAAATGAAGTCAGTATGTTCTAAAGATATATACTCCACTTTGTATTGCAGAACTATTCACAACAGCCAAAATGTTAGGAAACAACCTAAGTGTTCATTAACAGACAAATGGTTAAAGAAAGTGTTGTATTTGTATATGATGGAATACTATGTAGCCATTAAAAAGGAAAACTCCAGTCATTTGAGGTTAAATGGGGGAAACTGGAAGGCATTTTAAAAAATTATTTTATTGAACTTTATTTTATTTATTTATTCATTCATTCATTCATTTTTATTTGACCGGGGGTGGCGGGAGAGAGAGAAAGAGAAAGTGAGAAAGCAGACCGTCAGGTCCAGGACTCATGGCAGTTGGCCACGTGGGAGTCCAGCGCCCTTAACCACCACACCACCTACAAGCCCATGGAAGGCATTTTTTTTCAGTGAAATAAACCAGGTATAGAAAGAGAAACAACACATATTCTCTTTTATATATGGAAACTGAGGGAATTACCTCATAAAAAGAGCTATGGAAGGACCGACAGATGGCATAGTAGTTTCGTCACTGGACTCCCACCGTGGTTCCAGTTCCAGACCCGGAGACTTGAAACTCATGCCAGGCTTGTGTGCATGCGTGTCCAAGAACCCAAGAGAAGAATGGAGGAGAAGGAACTGCAGTATGGCCATCGCCCCAGGGGGTGATTTCTCGCTTTCTGTCTCTCTGTCTCTCTGGTGAGTACATGTACAAAAAATTCTTAAAAAAGAAAAAAAAGTAGCTGAAGAATGACTACTAGGGTACTGGGAAGGATGATGAGGGGTGTGGAATAGAGGGATGTTGATGAACGGAAACAACTGCAGGTAGAGAGAAAGAACACTGTCCGGGAGAGTGGGGTTAATAAGAAATTACTGTACATAATGCTACAAATGATTGAGATGATGGGTATACTAATTTAATACAATTCACACGTATTCATGTACAAAAAGAGCACACTGTTAACAATTGTGTTAATAAAAATTATTTTTTAAGATTTATTTACCTTTATTTTTTAAGATTTATTTACTTTTATTTGTTATTATTAATATTTTTTAATTTGACCAGAGAGCGACAGGGAGAAAGGGAAAGTGAAAGCAAGCCTCCAGGTCTGGGATTCGAACCATGGTCATGGTGGGAAGTCCAGCACCTTAACCATCATACCATCTGCTGGCCCATAATAAAAATTATTAATAAAAATAAAAAGAAAAAATAATAAATTAAAAAGAAAACAGTACTAATCATAAGAACTGATCTATCCTTTTTTTTCTAAGTTTTATTTATTTATTTTATGAGAGGCAGAGAGAGAAAGACATGCACCCACCAGTCTCACACTGTAGCCCCCAACATGCACAGCATCTACCAGCCAGCAAGGAAAACAGGCATGCCTGTGCACACCATACCTGTCCAGGCTGACTCAAGAACCAAACCCCAACCTTCCAGATGGTTCCAGTATTGCAGACCAATGTGTTATCACTGTCCCACTGAAACTGGATAATATATCTTATTCTTATAGGCTGCAGTTTGCGATGTAATTTCTTGAAAATGAGAACAAGATTTGATCTGGAAATTATTCTCTGGGATGCTTATTCCTCTCTGGAGGGCCTTCATATCATACATTATTAACATTGTATATGTAAAGTATTAATTACCTCTTATTGAAGAGGGCTGGAGAATTACCATTTCTCTTTCATCTCTAAATGTTCTTTTCTTTTGGATCTAAAGTTTGTTTGTAATATTTCTGCTACTGACAAATCAAAAGCTATATATTTAAATAAAAACTTTCATTAATTTACTAGAGTTCAATTTGTTTCCCCAGATTATATCATTTCAATTCATTCAATTAATGTTATACATATTATTCAATTTCATAAATGAATAATATTACTTAATACCCTAAGTGACTCAGACAGATATATGATCACTGACCAAGATCATCATTTCCACAGCGAGAA